AGACTTTTCGCATAAATGACACTTATTTTTCTTGTATTCCTTATTGTGGATTTAGGCAGATGACATATTAATTTTTATGGTCTTTTATTACCCTTTTTATTTTTCTTTAATGCTTTCTTTTTAGCTTCTAACTGGTCAATGAGATTAATTGAGTGAATTCTTTATTTTTTAAGCCTCGCTTCCTCTTGAATAAGCATATTTTGTAATTCAGTCACATTCTGTTTATCCTTTTATAATGTTGTAATTTATTTGAAATGGCCCATATTAAGGAGGTAAAGAATTTATACTAAATTGTACAAAAAATCTTTCACTCATTTCCATTCTCATGGATCTTAATCTTGCTGTTATATTGACATTTCAGTGACATGCTCATGCATGGTATGGGAACCATCAAATTTCATTATAGTTATCATAACCATTAATGTCCCAACAAGTGATTTATCAGTAGACTTAGACTAAGTCATATCTTTCACAAACTTTAAAAATTCCTTAGCATTATCAGTTTAGGAATCATTAACTTAAAGTTGTTTATTACTGTTATTCGCATGAACATTAAACTCAATCTATTTGATATTTCCCAAGCATTATGAAAAGACCTTTGTTTCGTACTGCTAGAATTAGTAACAATAGCAGGTCTATCAATTATGAGTGTCAAATTAAGATTTAGAACACCCACATGACACTGGACTTGTTCACACCATTCAAAAAAATTAAGTCCATTGAACAAATTTAGAACACCCACATGATACTGGACTTGTTCAACCATTCAAAAAAATTAAGTCCATTGAACTTTATAATAGACAAAGCTTGTGAATGAAAAGAAACAGGAACAGATGCTACAAATGTTAATGCCTTGAATGGTAACTTAAATACATAATACAAATTCAAATAACATTCATATAAACATTAAATATACATTTGAAATTCTCCTTTGGGTAATCCAAAAATGTACAACAATAAACATAATTGATACTTAATTTTGATTTCAAATAATTGATACTGAATTTTGATTATATACACTCCAATTAAGCATACTTGCTATTTTTGGATATGCAAAAATATCTAATGAATAATATTAATCAACCATTATTATTTTCATGATTATAAAGTTAATCAATCTACCTTTGAGCAATCCTTAAATATTTTATAACCATTAAACTTCAATTTACTCAATATATATATATATATATCATCATGTCATCTCATTTATAGTATTATATAATCATGAGTAATTGAATTTTATTTAATTTAACATCTACAAAAACTTTTTAATTTGGTTACTTTGATGACCAACAAATTATACATATTATAGATATCAAAATAAATAATGATAACAATTATTTTAATAATAATATACATAACCCATACCAATATGTGTGTGTGTGTGTGTGTGTGTGTGTGTGTGTGGAAGGTGTTAATATTTTGAGTAAACAAAATATTCAAAAACTATCATTTATAAATTTTACTATTTATATTATAACAAGTAGATAGATATAAAATAGTCAAATATTCATTTACATTAATAGCTTTCATAATTATTATAAAATTTATAATATTTAATTATATTATTTACAATTTAATGACTATTAAGTTTTATTTATTTTGTCTTACATTTATTATACCATCTTTATTACCTTTTTTTTTTACCTTTTATATATCTTTTAATATATCAATTCGTTAATCTAATAAATACATATTCATTACGTTATACGTTTCTTTATTAATAAATTAATATAATAAATATGATTTATTGTTATACTAAATTCATGTAAACAAATGAGTTATATTGTAATTAAATGAACAATAATTTCAAAATAGTAATGATATTTAGAAAAACTAAAATAAGCTTTAATTATTGTTTTGATATTTCATGTAGCATGCCAATATTAATTTGCAAAGAATACTGAAACTCTTAACATAATATAAAACCAAATACATAACAAACAACAACATGAAATTGGATCATAATATTAATAATAAATATAAAGAGAGTAATCTTTGAAAGAAAATTACAAGTTTTTAAACCAAAAGTTATGATACCACATATTATATTTTCTTTATTATGTAAACCAAATTTTAATTTTGCATAACTTTAATGTCCAAGGTCTTAAAATAAGATGATTTTTCATAATTTCTTAATTGAAGAGAAGTCATGCATTGATCCGTTATAATTTTTTTTTAAAAAATGTTTTATGAATTTTTTTTTTGTTTTTCTCTCTTCACCTTTTTAATCTTTTACGCACTTTCTTGATAAATAAAAAGTGTCATTATATAGGTAGAAAGAGAAGTAATTTTTTATATATTCTCAAATGGTATTTATTCATATATTCTATTAATGTATGAGTTATTAGTAAAACAACATTCCTTTTAATTTTATCAAAGGAATTAACTTTCATTAATTATCAAACTATAAATATCATTTAATTAAAATAAAACTTAAAGTTAGATAATGCAACGTTAGCCATAATATCTAACAATCTAATGTTCTAATGACTCCTTAACCTTCTTAATTAAGTTGTCATCAACCATCAACTTTTCATTTCAGTTAAGGGGGGTTATTGGAGGACATGTTACATCAAACTACAAATACAAAAATGGCAATTCAAATATCGATTAACCAAACCAGAAATGGTTGAAGGATCATGCTAAATGTAGCAGTATTATCAAATGTTAGGCTTTTGATCTTACATATGAAGACCAACAAAAGCAATGATGTAGTTTTTTGTCATTACCTTAGACATTGAGCTTCAGTTGAAGAATATCCCTATTACGGATGCAACAAGATTTGGGATGACTTTGGAGAAACTTTATATTTTGGTTTAAGCAACCTAAGCTGATCACAAAAGTTTCTTTGAACTAAGGTCTCCCTTCCAAGGAATCATTTATTCTCCCAGAAAAGTCCATTGGACTTCAATTATACTCGATCAGAGATATATAATCTAGTTTCTTAGTTTTATGAACTTTTTATATCCTGCTTTTAAGATTTGAATATAAAATTTACAAATTGATTTATCAGCTATTCTTTTTACTATATGTTCCTGATCACATGTCACAACCCTATTAAGAACAAATGTATATAGTAGTATTATGGTGTATTTGGATTCAAAAGCACCTTCGTTTGTCAAGAAAATTTGTGCCAATCGGCATTTATGCTGCATTTGGATAATAACACTGTAGCACGATAGAGACACTTTCACTGCATCAAAGCAATGGTTGGTGACTGAACTCTAAAGGTCGGCTGAAAAGAGCTCCTCCTCATTGTAGCTTTCTTTCCAGTTTATCTCTTTTTTTTCTTTGTGTTTAAAAATTTTAAATGAATTAATTAATTATTTAAAATAACAAATAAATTATATGTTTTCATTATATAAATAAATACATAAATAAGTAATTTAATAATTACCATTAAATATATATTCATTTTTAATACAAAAATGTAAATAAATATTTTTGAATGAATAAAAATTTTATTATAATAAATTTTGATATAATATCTTTAATAATTATTTTTTTATTACAAACACTTCACCTTATTGTTATCGTTAATTTATTATCCAAACACATATCTCACTATTAATTATATTTTCATCGTTACAATATTTAATTTCATTGCTACAATAATTAATTTTACTATCATCATTATTTTTAGTTTTATTAAAATTAATCTTACTATCAATCTAAATGCCCTAACAAGTCAAGTCTTACATGGATTTCGATTCATCCAAGAAAAAAAAAAACAAGTCTTAAATGGATTTTGACATGTTACTCTAAAACAAACAATTTAATTACTATGATTTAGCATAATTTTTCCTTTTATTAAAAAAATGGAATATCCAACTCTTTGAGTAAGGGATACACACACCTAATACTGAATCAAATGGTGGGATAATTATAATTTCATTATATTACACTCAACTACTTCCCATTCTGCAAATCTTTAATAATGGAAATAAATTCACTCCTTAATTATGATCCACTGAAGACCTGGCCAAATTTAATCTGATCCCGGGGCATCTTCGTCTTTCATCTTCGCAAAGGGAAGGGCATGGCTGCCACTGAAATAAAATAAGTGGAATTTCATTCGCTCAACATTTTTGCCTCTACACAAAATAAATAGCCAAATAATGGGGCATTCCGAGAATTGAACTCGGGACCTCTCGCACCCTAAGCGAGAATCATACCACTAGACCAAATGCCCTAGTTGATTAACATCGGTCAGGAATTTATACTTATATTAAGAAATGTGATGCACTCCACAATTCTTCTAAATTGTTCCCCACTCGACCAAATTTGTTCATTTCCCCTCCAAAACTAAAAAAAATTCAGCACTGTTTTTGTTGCATAAAATCTGGTTTGATATCACCCTTTTAGTTTTAGCTTTGACAATACAAAGCTATTATCCATTCAACACCAAAAAACTTGCTGCAATTTATTTACACAGTAAAAATCCCAATACAAAAGCTGAATAAAATATCATCCTCAGACTCTGAGGAATGCCTGCAGGCTCTGATTGCCTGTAAAAGGAGTATGATCATGGTAAAAGTTACCGAAGAGATATAGAATCTTCATTCATTAGGTCTAGTTTCAAAAGGATATAAGGTAGGATCCCTCATTATGAGAATAATGCAATCATAAAAGAACAGCAAAAACAATCATGGTACTGTTAGGTACTCCCATGATATCTTCATTTTGTAACAATGCAAACCTTTTAATATGGAAGAACGTTTATAAGCATATAAACTGAAAAAAAAAAAAAAAAAAAAAAAAAAAAAAACTGAAGAAGGATGACATATTTGCATTAATTTGGCACAATTCAAATTGTGTCAACCAACCATTGCCTAATTCCAAATGGTGAAATGATAAGCCTGTTGGATTAAACTTGAATTTCAGCATGCCTTAAAACATTTTGAAACCAGATTTTGTTTGCAAAGTTTATATACTTCCGGGAAGACAAATTCGCCAAAAAGACAATGTCAAAACACAATGATTCAACTTCTTTGTCTTTTATCAAGTTATCACATTCTCCATATGCTTCAAGTCTAATACACAAACTCCCCTTCTAAAAAATATTACCATACACCCTTGATAATTGGAAAGCTTCATGTTCAATAAAATACATGGGCTTACTTAATCTCTTACTTAAGATATGGAAGCAAAGCATGCGAGTTTAACCAGATTAATGATTAGCTTCTGGCGTAGCCATTATGGGTGCTCCAATAGAAGAAGTGGGTGTCATTGCAGCTCCAGGAACTGTTGTTGGGGGGAGCCAATGTAGGAGGCCATGGAAGGCCATTTACTTGACCAGGCAAGGAAGGAGCACCAGGTGGTCCCATCATTGGTGGCATGACTGGAACAGGAATATAACCTGGTAATGTCACCGAAAAAAGAAACAAAAAATATTCAATTCCATCTTATGTGCGTAATTGAGATTACCATATAAAACAATAGCTTTATGGTAACAAAACAAGTATGCAAAAATTCTGAATTCACTATCACCACTTAAATTCGTGGTTGAATATGTTTATTAACCAAATACCCAAACCTCATACTAGCAACAATATGAATAATGCTGATACGTATCGAATCTTACCTGGAGCACCTGGAACTGGTCTTGGCAGAACAGGAGGCCTAATTCCTGGGACCATTAGTTGATTTACAGGTAACGGTGCAGCCCCTGGAATGGGCATAATATGTGTTGGAAGCACAGGAAGTCGGGGCCTCTGAGCCATTAGATGTTGATTAAAAGCAGCTCCAACCTGCTGGAAAACAGCAGCTTGGCCAAGATGTTCCTTGATCCTTTGGTCGATTAAGCTCTGGGTCAGTTGCTGCTCAAATTGCTGATAGTAAGTTCTAACATTTGCCTGAAATTACACACAGAATTAGCCAAAAAAGGCATAACTCACAAGATAAATGAATGAAAAGAGAAAAACTCTATAATCACCTTGTGTTTCTAACCTGCATTGTGTTGTTTTCTAACTGATGGCTGAAATTCAAAAAAAAAAAAAAAAACCATTTCAGCAATTATTCTAAATGCAACGACCCAAACTAATAACGTTACACAATTTTCGAAAAATTCAATCAAAAGTCTGTTTAGATTCTAAATATGAAAGGACTGTAGTAAACATGAACAGAGTGACGAGGGAAAAGGAAATATCAAAAAAAAAAAAAAAGAATCAGGGAATTTACAGAGTCGTGGGTCAAATAAGTGTCGCAATAATCACAGTAATACCTGTAAATTTGAATCCAAATAAACATATCCATAAAATGTTAATAAAAATTTTTATTGAGAATGTTAATTTCTTTTAAGATTGAATAAATTCGCAAAGATCCGTACCGAGGCATTGTGAAAAATCTCACAATCAAAGCTGGCTGCAGATCGTAAAACCTCAGAGAGTGCGCACCGGAGGGCTGTATAGAGCAAAAGCCCTACCTCAAGGACAAGGAAAAAGGAGGAGAAAAGAGGGTTTTGCCTGCTTCCAAGTAATTTTAAGACCTTGAAGTGAAGCGCGAACTTAAGTGTGAGATGCCACGTATTCATATTTTGTTTTTATGAAATTACAAATAAAATGATAATTAACTAATTAATAAATTAAAATATAATAATATAATTAAATTCACACGCATGGGACTTGCTTTAGAATTTCAAGGTTTTAAACTTTTTACTTATCATTAAATTAAAATTTTTATATTTATTTATTTTGTGTTAAATATATATAAAATATAAAAATTATCATATTATAATTTAATAAATTAAATACGAGATATATTTTTATTAAATTTATATTTTTTGTTAAAATTTTAAATAATATTATTTTAATATATTTTAATATTATTTTTATTATATTATTATATCATATTTAAAATTATCATATTTAATTAAATAATTTTATTAATGCATTATCTTTTCCGTGAATTATATTCATAGTGCATTATTTTTTCCGTGAATTATATTCATTAATCATTATTATAATCCTTCCATAATTAAGTGAACAATTTTAAATACAGTTATTTATGTTTGGTTAAGATATCTTATGTAAATTTTTACTCATTTCCTTTTTTTAATACATATTTATGAATATAAACAAATAAAATATTTGATAAATAATTTAATTTTTATTTATTTATTAAATTTAATTAAAAAACACAAACAAACTTCAAAATTTATTAATTAAATAAACATATCACATATATTATAAATAATTTGTGAACAAATTTAATTTTTATTTATTTATTAAATTTAAAAAATCATGAATAAATTTTAAAATATAAATTAAATGAATATATCATGTATATTGCAAAGTTTGTTCGATTAGTTAAACCCTACACATGTTTAAAATTTTTAATTAATTAATTTATCCTTTCAATATTATTTAAAAAAATTTGTATATTTTTTTAATCTGATGGTTAAATAAATATATATATATATAATAAATTTATTATTCATTTTTCCCCAAAAGTCCAAATAACATGCTGCAGCTACCAATCGCGCTCGGCAACCCGACTTTTACTTCTTGGTAAGCCAATTAGAATTACAAACCAAAACGTTCCAAGAAGACGGCGCCGTTTAAACCGACCATTTTAAGACACAAACTGAACTCCATAACAAATCCTTCAATCGAGCGCTCTCTTATGCCCCTTTTGCAGTTTTGCCCTGAAAACAAAACGGTCGGAAGAAAGTGAAACAAGAAAGGAAGAGAAAAAGTCAAATGGACGGCAATTCGGCTTCTTCAAATTCCTCGCTTTCTGGTCGGTTTCTCGTGTCCTTAGATCTTATCCTCTGTTTGGTTGCCAAGTAAACGAAAAGAAAGCTAAGGAAAATGCCAATGATAAGTACAAATTCGTAAATTTTCTTTCGTGTCGGGTTGAGTTTTGAAATTTTTTATTTTCCATGGCAGGGGCGTTTAAAGTTAACGAGAAGCGAAGTTGGGCAACGTCTCCGTCGGGTGCCCTTTATCACTTTGGTACAAGTGGGATCTCGGTTGCAGTTGCCACCGGCCTCACGCATCCTCTAGGTGCACTTTTTTCTTTTTTCTTTTTTTCCTTTACTTGATTTATCTCAAAAGTGTTATATATGCTTCTCGCGATTGATCACGTAATAATTAATCTTGTTTTTTTATCTAAAAAAAAAAAACTAACGAATAAATCAAATCTGGTTCTTGGTGGATTGCACGGTGGCAGTTAATAATGTTGTTAAAAAAAGGTCTTTTATTTATTTATTTATTTTGCAATTATTGGGAACTATCAATAAACAAAAAGTCTGAACTTGAAGGCTTTAGTTTGTCCGGTGGATAGAAAAATGGAAAGATAAAAAATTGGAAGAGAAGAAAAATGGAAAGATAGAAATCATATTTTTATTTCCATTGGTGTGGATCCTTGAAAAGATGGAAATTTTGAAGGAAAATGTAATTCTTTCCGTCCATTACTTGATAGAATTGAAAAATGAAAGGAAAGAAAATGAAAATTATATGATTTTATCATTATAACCTTTTGTAAATTAAGATAAATCTAAATACGATGAACAATTTTGTAAATATGCAACACATCCTCAAACCTCTCCCATTTTCTCTCTTTGTTTTTTCCAATTTTGAGTGATTTGTTTTTGTTAATAAGTATGGAAAATTGTAATATTTCCAATTTGCTTTCCTCTCATTTTTGTTTCCTACCAAGCACACGTAAAATTCATTTTCTTTCCACTTTTCCAACTTCTCTATCCATTCTTTCACTTTTCCACTCTAGCACACCCATAGTAAAGTTTTTATTTATTGAGTATATATTTCAAACATGCAGTACAGAAAGACTAATTGGTCATGAAAATGTTATAATTTAAGAGGAACTAAATTGAAATGCTTCAAATTAAATGAAAACTCAAAAGAATAAACAAAAGGGCATGCAGAAAGAAACTTTTTGAAGTAGAATCATTTTGGCATTGTGGAGTGATTCTATAGCTAATTCATTTATCTATGATCGTAGTGCAGATGTTCTTAAAGTTAGGCTGCAAATGCAGCTTGTTGGTCAGAGGGGTCCTTTGATTGGAATGGTATTTGACCAATGCTTTCAGTTTACTTTCCTGATGATGATTATCTGGTTTATCCGATTCTATTGATCTGAAATTTCAACATTTACATGGATGTAAGCAGGGACCATTATTTGTTCAAGTATGGAACAATGAAGGACCAAAGTCTCTATATCTAGGATTGACACCTGCATTGACAAGGTCTCTTCTATATGGAGGTCTCCGTTTAGGCTTGTATGAACCATCAAAATCTGCCTGTGATTGGGCCTTTGGTTGCAACAACATCTTTACTAAGATTGCATCTGGAGCATTTGCTGGTGCCATTTCAACTGCCCTGACCAATCCTGTTGAAGTTCTGAAGGTAGTGTTACATCATTTCATATTCTAATCTTTTAAGCTCATTGTGGATCTAAGAAACAGATTTCTGCCGTCAGGTGCGGTTACAGATGAACTCAGATTTGAGACAAAGAGGGCCAATTGCAGAAATGCGCAGAATTGTCTCCAAAGAGGGAATAGGTGCCCTTTGGAAGGGTGTTGGCCCTGCTACAGCTAGAGCTGCTGCCTTGACTTCTTCACAGCTTGCAACATATGATGAATCCAAGCAGGTCAATTTCTAAGCATGCTGTTTTTCAGTTTGAATATACACGATGTAATTTCCAAAGTTTTTGGATGACTTATTTCGTGTTCGATTTATCATCTAGCTAGAGTGTTTGTTTACATTTTTCCTTTCTTTCCACTTTTAAAGTTTTCTAAGATTCTATTGATGCAGATATTGGTGAAATGGACACCTCTTGAAGAAGGATTTTACCTGCATCTCATGTATGACACTAACCATACCTTTTTTTTCTCCCTTATTGGCCCTTTTTTTGGATGTAAATTGAAGGAATATATATTAAGTTATTCTCTAAAAAATTAACCTGACTATGTAACTTGTTGAAGTTGACATGTCATGGATGAAATTGAAAATTATAGCAAAAATAAACATCTGGAAATAGGAAATATTTCAACTCAAGCAAATTTTTGGTTTGAGAGTGAAGATGAAGGGATTTAAATTGATAGTTTAAACTATCAGCTTAATATTTTAGAATGTGCCATTATGATAGTGAAACTTTTCTTTCTGACATTATTTGTTTCTGGACTTTTGCATCTGTTGAAGCTCAAGTACAATTGCTGGCTTGGTGAGCACCCTTATTACAGCACCCATGGACATGGTTAAAACCCGTCTTATGTTGCAACGAGAAAGTATTGGGCACTATAAAAATGGATTTCATTGTGCATATCAGGTATTGAACGGATTTTATTTTTTTGTGCCTTTCTATGTATTCCCTTCATCATTGTTGCTATAAGTTGTTCATTTCGTCATTTCCAGTTTTTTTTTTTCTTTTTGTACTTTTAATTATCTTTTACTTCTATTAGTTTTCTTTGGTGCCCTGGATTAAATACATGATTTTATGCTCACCAGAACTATATAGCAAGGAACGTTGGGACCAAAATGTCAGTCAGCTTAAGTAGCCCAAGAGAACAATAAATTAATGCCCTTCTGCTCTTCTTTTAATATGCTTATAGTCTGGTTCATATTATCCAGAATTTATGCCTTATTAGATTGAAGATTCTCAACTGCTATGCCACCAAGTTTGGTCTCTTGTCGTTGTCACGGCTTTCGACTATTTCATTTACACATTTGTTAGTTAAATGCTAATACACTAGGGCTTCCTGGACATTCTATTTGTATTAACCGTAAGGACTGAGATTGGACAGTTTGGCATTGCTGAGAGCTTCTGCCAAAAAAAAAAAAAAGAATGGCTAAGAATCATCATGTTGTCATCTTAGGTCCTTACATTTTTGGGGGTGGTAGAGGTTATAGATTATAGATTTAACCTCATTTTAGATGTTGGTTGATATGGCCTCCAAAGGTTTGACAAAATTTATTTCCAGGTCATGCTATGTCTTACACAATTGCTTTATTTAAAACTTATAACATGTGGCATACCTTTCAACTATGAATACACAACTAGACTGATTTTCTTTCCAATTCATTTGCATTCCTGGTTTTAGGTTCTGCGTACAGAAGGCCCCAGAGGACTTTATAAAGGGTGAGATTTACAAAAGTTTCCATTCTTTCTTTTTTTTCTCTTTTTTGATGCATGTAGTTTAAATTTGTGGAAAATGGACTTAAATGCATTATCCACACACTATATTTGCCGGAAGCTGTAAAGTTAGTTGCAAGGCATTTATTGTTATTATTTATCTTCATGTTCTGATTTTCAATATCAACTTAAAAGTCCTTATTGCTTGGATATACTTGAGAGGGTCCAAAAATAATAATAATAGTGGACTGGTGAGCTCAGAGAAACTGTAAAGACGGTTACTTCATCCTTTTTCCCAATCAGTGTTAACATATCAATTTCTGGATGTTGGTCTTTAAATTTTCATCAGGGGCTTTGCCATTTTTGCAAGATTGGGTCCACAAACTACAATTATATTTATACTTTGTGAGAAGCTGCGCAAGCTTGTGGGTTTGAATGCAATCTAGTGGTGAGATGGTTCATTTGCAGTTACAATATTAGCTGTCTATTGTGATATGGAAATGCCACGCAGCTGCCCTTATTGCCATCAAGGCCCAATTCGAAGGAAATTATTATTTTAAATAAATTTGTATTCATTCTTTTGGTGATTTAGATCACCACTCAACTATAGGCTACACTTCATCATTCATAAGATGGTCCATTGCTTTGGAGTTGTTGTTGTAGCATTATTCATTATTTTTCCCATCATTTTTTGGGGGTTTGGCGCATAAGACGAAGCCAAATTTGGTGTTGTTGTCAACTATTATCTAACATTTTTGTACTATTTGTTTTTTTATAAATAAAAGGGTTTACTTATAGCTGTTGGAATTGATGAAAGATTGGCATTATTGTCAGTATTTGTCCATGTTGGTTTTTTAGCTCCCTTGTCTTTTTGGTTTCTGAATATTTAAGCTCTTTTACAAGGAATGATTGATGATTATACTTTATGATTCTGACATAATTTCAAGGTGAATTGCAGGGCTGTAATGAAGAAGCCGGAAACCAGATGTGTTGGTGCATGTTTTGACTGGCACTCCCTTGATTTAAAAGGTAGGTTTCAGTACAACTAACTCTCATTTGACTGAGAATTTTCGTTCTTAAAGAATTATCGCTCGTAGAAATGATAACAGTTTAGATGAGATTGAATTTAATTTAATTTTTTTAAAATATATAAAATATTATAAATGTATAAATTTCAATTCAAATTTAAAACTACAATTTTAAATTAATTTGTATTTTTATTTTTTGATTTTTTTTCCCCTAATCATCCACCTATTCTTATGAAACATATGATTGCATTTGCCTCCAATCTTAATATCACTAAATTTCTTTATTACTATATATAACTTGTTTGTCATATCATTCCCTCACATTTCACATCCACCCTATGATTATTCTCGATACGCTTTTGCCACTCGCAACATCCTCGATGTACCCTACCCAGTCCCGCTACTTAATTAGCAAATTATTTTTTTAATGCTATTAACGGATATATTTTCAAATTTAACCTAAATATTTTTCAAACGCTTTTGAAACTGTATTTTCTAGTTGATTTTATATATTCAAAATTTATATTTTTTTCACTAAAATCAAGTTTTGATTGACAAAAAAATAATTCCAATCCATATTGATAACAAATTATCCTTTTATTGTTCTTTTCAAACATATTAATAAACCCATGAAATTGATTGTTTTTGTTTAGATTGGACTTTAGATTTTACAAATTGAATTGAATGGCCCCGATCTGTTTTATTATATATGTTAGGTCCTTTTTCTTTTTTTAGTAATATTAATTTAGTGTTGTAGTTTCAACAAAAAATCGTCCGTGTCAAGTGAACAATTGATACAAGCTGTCGTCCATCTTTATGTGAACAATTGATACAAGCCATGATTAGGGATGGCGAAAGATTGAGTTGAGATTGATATTTGTTTCATTCTACTTTAATCCGAACTTTTAATATTTATACTTGATTTCAATTCAATATTAAAAATATTATATTTTTTAATAGTTTTGTATATTTATAAATTGAAATTAATTTTATAATTTTAATTTAATATAATACTTATAAGATACTATTTTTTAATATACATTATATTTTAATTATATAAAAATATAATATATTTATTAAATTAATACCTTAAATTAAATTATGAAATAATAAAAATATATTTTTTATATATATACTAAGATCATGTCAAGACAATGTATTTTAAAACCTGACTTCAAACTGAAAAAAATCCGATTTCATATTCTTTTTAAAAAAAAAAAGACTTATTAAATCGAGACGGATTGAAATTCATTTTATGAATTATTTTATTATTATTAATGGTGACATTTTTTACTCTAATTTTTTAAAGAATAGCCCATAATTTCCATTATTTTTCTCGGTCAATATTCAATCAAGGTCCCAAATGGATAATGAAAATAAAATAATAATGTAGTAAAATTGAATATTATAGTATTAAAATTAAAATTTATAGCGAAGATATGTATTTTAATACAAACACAATGATTAAGTATGGTAATAAATTATCTCCCCAAAAACAACCGACTATCACAATTAAAAAACATTTTTATTGTTTAATTTTATACAAAACCAATCATTGACTCATACACGACACTCAGCTATCCTAAAATTCAATAATTCATTGGATGTTTCCACGGTATTAAAAAACCTCGGAATCAAATTGAACGGTGAAATATTTTTTAAATGCATCTTATAAGACAATTAATTGACTTAAAAATCTTCGGATTCGTCACATTGCGATGAAATCTATGAGGATTCATTTGAATAGTTGATGAAATTGATTTCAATAATATTAAAAATAATAATAGAGATGAATTTATTATTATAGTGATGAGATTAATAATCCATTTGAATGAATTGTGAAATTGATTTTATGATATTAAAAATAGTGGTGGAGGTAAAATTGGTTACTATAACAATAAGATTAATTATTATAATAATAAAATTAAAATCAATGATAAAATATGTATTTAGATGCAAAAATAGTATTGAAAATGAGGTAAATTATAATAAGAAAAGAAAATAACCATCATAAACATTGTAGATATTAAATTTATCCGGTCTTGATTAAATTTGTTATTTTTATTAAATAATAAATAAGATAATAATAATATTATTAAATACAATAATATAAAAATACAAAATATAAAAAAATTAAACAAAAAAATAAAAAAGAGAATACTGTGGCAGTGGTGCCTAGCATGGCATCGTTGGCTACCTTACCTATCACTCATACCTTGTTTACCACTATCAGCCCCTGTTCATTACCCTCGTTTAAGCTTCTAACTATCATGTCCTACCACTATCAGATAAGACAAAAAAAAATAAAAGCAGTATGGGAGTCGTGCTTGCACCCCTATGCCGAGCCTTGTGCCATTCATTCTGTCGGATCTCTATAAATAGAGCTCCTGGTTAAACCTAAAAGGAGGACAAAAAAAACAGAGATGGGGAAAACCCTGCAAAAAATAGAAAAAGCTTTCTGCCAGAAAAACACCAAAAAAATACACAAAAAAATAACTCAGTCCCCTAGAACAGGGAACCCAGCGTCGAAAGTTCCTGCACAAAGAAAAAAACAAATTCAGTTTAAAAAAAAGTTTTACTGAAACTTCAAGAGCAGATCTGGAGAATTTGAGACTTTTTTTGGTGAAACGAAGGCTGGATCTATGTTTAGGGAGTTGAGGAGAATATTTTTGGTGATTTTACCTTTTTTCGATCATCGATGATGGTGGCCTACGACCGGTGACAGCGACGACGGCAACCGGTCGGCCACCTGTGTTTGGCTGAAGAGAAAAAAAAGAGTTTTTTTTTTTTAAAAAGAAAGGAAATGAAATGAAAATTTTTTTTTTGACTTTTATAAAGCTATTAATAGTCAAAACAACGTCGTTTCATTTAAACGCAAAAACGATGTCGTTTTAAGCCTAAAGATCCGTGCGTCAACTTGTCGATTCGACCCGGATTTCGCGCAACCGACCCGACAACCCGACTCATCTTTTAGCCCTGACAGATCCGACTGAATCGGTACCAAACCATCGAATTGACCAAACCCCGTTGAACCGTCGAGCTGACCAGACCTGCGTTAACCGGACATTTGACCGGTCTTGTTCAGGTAAAAAAATTTTTTTAATTTTTTTAATTTTTATATATTCTTTTATTAATATTTATACATATTAAAATATTTTTATTTGTTAGTTTAAATGATGAAATATGTAGTTAAAATTTTTTTCTTCTCTAATTTTATTAATTTTAAAATAAACTTAAAATAAAAAATAAAGATAAACTTTATAATAATAATTCAAAGTTAATAAAAAATGTAATAAAAGGAAATTTTTACTCGATGATGAGATTCAAAGGTATTTCGAGTAATGATACTTATGAAATCTTTAGGTAAGAAGATTTTTAAAATACTACTAGCGTATTGGAGTATTTATAAAAATTTTCAATATAATAAAAAAAAATTTTGGTTTTAAAATAATTAATAAATTAAATAATAAAAATATAAAATAAATTAATAAATGAATATTCTCTCATTATCATTATTTGGGCACATTTGTTTGGATTTAAACACTTTGCCATGCACTTATTATCAGTCTAATGAAATATGCTATCTTTCATTTGGAAATAATGTATATCAATTCCTTTATTCTCATTTGATATTTTTGTTCACCATACAAATATGAGAAATGTGTGATTGCATTTTGTTTGTTTTGAACTTAAAATGACGAAAAGAAAAACAAACACAAAAGATCTCAGCATTACTTTTTAAAAGTTGATAAAGGTAAATGAAAAGGGACGAGAAAGCATGACAAGACATTAATGTTCAGACATTCAAAGAAAAGAAGTATTGTTAGAGAAGAATACAATGGTCAGATGTTAAGAACAGATTGATCATATGGTAATTCTGATAAAAGAAACCAAAAGCAAGAGATTTCGAGAACCTTTTTATCACAATGAATAATTTTGATTGCATTGCATTTAGAGCATTTAGTATATGCATCCATGAGCAGTTATAATAAAGACAGAGACTTTCCATTTCCTAATGAAAAACAAGATCAAACAAAAGATTTCAAAATAGAAAAATTTACTTGTTCAAATATGATAACTCAATTTCGAGAACAGATGAATTTTTAAAGTTGTTAAGCCTCTGCTGAGAGAAGCTTTTCCAAATGGATTTTTAAAGTTATTGAGTCTCTGCTAAGAGGAATTTTTTCAGATGAGATTTTAAAGTTGTTGAGCCTCTACTGAGATGAGCTTTTTCTAAAATGAGATTTTAAAGTGGTTGAGTCTCTGCTGAGAGAAGTTTTTTCTAAAATGAGATTTTAAAATTGTTGAGCCTCTGTTGAGAGGAGCTTTTTCTAAATGAATTTTTAAAATTGTTAAGCCTTTGCTAAGAGAAACTTTTTCTAAAATGAGATTTAAAGTTGTTGAGCCTCTACTGAGAGGAGCTTTTTCAAATAGATTTTAAAGTTGTTCATCTGTTGATATGAGCTTTTTCTAAAATAAGATTTTAAAGTTGTTGAGCCTCTGTTTATAGAGGCTTTTTCAAATGGATTTTTAAAGTTGTTGAGCCTCTGCTGAGAGAAGCTTTTTCAAATGAATTTTTAAAATTATTGAGCCTTTGCTGAGAAAAGCTTTTTCAGATGAGATTTTAAAGTCGTTGAGCCTTTGCTTAGAGGAGTTTTTTTTAAGATAAGATTTTAAAGTTATTAAGCCTCTGCTAAGAGAGCTTTTTTAAATGGATTTTTAAAGTTTTTGAGCCTCTATTG